GGCGCTGTCGGAGGGAGGGGGTGGGGCGCGGACGGTTTCTGCCGGAGACCGGGAGAGATTCGGAAAGGTCATCCCGTCCTTCCCCCAGCCTCCGAGCCGCGCCGCCCCTCCCACCCCAAACCCGGACATACCAGGGAAGGAGTTGGCGCGGCCGCCTTTTCTGCCCCGACATGCACAGACTCGGGAAGTTCTTCCTGGGGTTTTATCTCAAAGCCTCTCCCTTCAATTTGTGTCTCTTTTTGGGGAGGAGGAGGGGCGATGATAGAGATAGCTCATGTCTGCCGTGTAAGAAACATTATTTAAAGTTACTCCTCGGTCCTTTCTGTTCTTGATAATTCCTGCACCTTCCTCTCGAATTCTGTTTTCCATTCCTGAAGTCACTTTACTGGCTCTTCAATACAACAAATATGTGCCGAGTGCTTACTGAGCACCCGGCCCTCGGCTCGGCGCGGTGGGGGATGAACGGATGAGGGGGTGTAGCGCCGTCCCTGTAGGAGATCACAATCTGGACCGGGGCTATATGTTTTTAAGTAGTGTAGTCAGATCTAATCAGTAATTACTGAATACCTGTTCACATACTTAACAGTATATAATCCTTACCATTACACTCTGAAATGTTAGGTCGCATTTATAGGTAAGGACAAGGAGGCTAAAGGGTCTCTTTCCCCTGGCCTGCCAGCTCAGGGAGCCTCAGTGCAAGCCCAGCACCTCACGTTCTGCCAGACCATCCACCGCTCCCAAACAAAGTTAACACACAGCAGTTCTCAGCCATTTTAAGTGTGACCCCCACTCCCCAGGAAAGAAGAGAGGGCACAGTGCTCCAATGAGCAGGGCATAAGCGGCTCACAAAGAAGGCCGCTTTCCTCACAGAACCCAGCCTCCCGGTACTAACTCCCCAGGGTCTTCTGGCTCAGTCTTCTTTCATCATCAATAATAATAATGATAATAGCCACTAGCATTTATTGAGCACTTATGTGCAAGGTGTTGGGCCGAGCTGGTTTATATACATTTTCTCCTAATACTCAAAGGAACCCTGTGGTATTATTAACTTCCCTTTATAGGTAAGCAAACAAAAGATTAAGTAACTTGCACAAGGTCAGCCAGGTAGATCTGGAATTTGAACATAGGTCTGGTTGCCTCCAAACCTCAGGCTCTGCATCAAGATGGATCTTTCTCCTATTTTTGATCTCTAAATATATATTTGGGCCCCGCTGGTTCTGCTTCCTATCGTAGAAATAAATATCCCCAGCTTAGCTTCTGAATAAGCCCTTTAGTATATGGGCATCAGGCACCACAGTATGACCTCATCAGCGCCACTAATGGTTACTAAGCACCCACCATGAGTCAACAACCCTTCACAGTCATATTATTAGCCCCCGTTTTATAACTCAGTTTGAACAAACAGTGGTTCAAATAGGTAGAATAATGTATTCAAGGTCACACAGCTAGGAAAGTGGTAGAGCTGAGATTTTAGTCCAGGTCAGCCTGGCTGCAGGGCTGCAAGGCAACTTGTATCTCTCAAAAAATATTAACTGTTGCAATAACATCCTTCGCAAGACTGACCATTTGGGGACTCTCTTCTATACATGTCTAGCTGCAGGTTACCACTGAGCTAAAAACAATCCCCACTATAATAGGGCACCCCATCCTCTTTGTCAGTGTCCCATCCAGAGAAAATCCTTCAAAAAAGGAAGGAGAGAGAAGAAACCACTCAGAAAGTGACAGATAGGAAGCCAAGGGAATTAAACCTTGCCCGGTTTGGGGACAAAGCTGCAAGTGGTAATGACATGGGAACAATCCAGACAGTAATGTGGGATTTCCCTAGGGAACAGCAAGTTATTTGAGGAGGAAGAAAAGAAAAAGGAGAAAGATTAGATGGAAATGGGGGCGGGGGGCAGAATTAGGGCCCAGGGTGGTAGCATCCATGGGTGAGTGGTCAGAAGAGGAACCCAGAGAGGATGGGCAGAGATGGAGGCAACAGGACACAGGAACAAAGCAAGGCAGAGCTGGGCATCTCGTGGACCGAACAGCGGCTGGTATCTACCTACGGCCACTTCCTGGATCCTTAGGCCCTCTTAGGGACCTTTGCCCCACCACACCCCACCCCTGACAGCCTGTCTCCGCCAAGACAAGTCTGTTGTCAGCTCTGAGCCACCAGGCCCCACCAGGACCTCCAAGCCCAGCTGGGTCCCTTCGAGTAGCTGCTTCAGAGTAGGTAGGTGAGAGGTCCTGAGCCTCAACTCCCTGGATATTAGAAGCATGCGGAGGGGCTTCTAATAGAGGCTCCTGCATGACCTGTCTCCTGCCTTTTTCCCAGGAAAAAATACCAAGCTCAGCAATCAAGGGAGCCATGGGGGACAGAGCTGGTCAGCAAGAGCAAGAGAGACCCAGCCCTCGTCTGGAAAAGCTACAGCATTGGGCAAGGCACAGGCAGAGTGGGCACCTCTTGGTGCTGGCGGTGAGGCCAGGATGCCCTACCCAAGCTTCAGCGTATCCACTTGTACCCCAATTCAATTCCCTCTATGTTTTGTGAACACTTACCATGTGTTTGAAAACGTTAGGCTCTGAGAGGGAGGAGGGAGGGGGGAGCATAGAATAAATAAGGCAAAACCCTTAATCTATGAGCAGCTTCCATCATGTGGGGAAAGCACACAGGTAAGTAACTAAACTGTGACATCAGGCGGAACAGATTAAATGATATCCCCTTCCTTCACTGCCCTTGGTTGGCTACTTCCACCACCAGGCATTCCGGCCAATTGCAGGGGGTGGGCGGAGGGAGGGGGTCCCTGACAGTTCCCCTGCGTCTGGCCTCCAGGTGAGCCAGCTATGGCTAGCAGTGGCTGTGGTGCCCTTGGCTGTCTCAGTTGCCTGCCTGAACTCTGCTTGTCACATGGCCACAGCACTGCCGCTTGGACCTGGAGCATTGGTAAGATCCACCACAACAGAGGACGGAAGAAAGATCCTGGGGGCCCTTCACTAATAGGACCAGAGCTCAACACTTGCCTTTCTCACCATTCAGGGTCTCCTCACTGGGATTGTTACCCTTGAGCTGCGCAGAGCACCCCGCCTTTGGAAGGTGAGAGGGGAAGTGAATGCAGTACTATTCTTTGACCACCCAAAGCACACACACACACACACACACACACACACACACACACCACACCCCTCAACCTAGAAAGTGGCTCTCCAAGCTAATCCTGTCAGCTCTCCGCCCGACAATCCTAAAAGACTAAGGCAAAAAGCAAAAAACATGGAGGGCTGAGGGCCCTGTTAGGAGAATAAAAGCTGAGTCCTGTTTTCGGGTAGGTGCAGGTTGGGCTTGGGGTTGCCACGAGTCCCCTTAGGCCAGGCAGGGCTGAACTGGTTCACCGGCAGGTGCGCGCCATGATGATATTCAACACCGTCAATCTGATCTCTGGCTTCATTGTGGTGGTGGTTGAGGTGATGAAGACAGCCCTGGGGCCTGCAGCACCTGCCTCCTCCATGGTACCGGTGAGTAAAGGAGAAGATGGGAAGACGAGGAGGCAAAAGGAGCGGGAGAGGGATAGGGCAGGGGCAAACAGATGTTGGTTCCCCTGTAGCATCTTCAGCCTTGTCTACCTGCAGCTGGAAGGCTTGTTGGTGCTGGAGCTCAGTGCTGAGGCTTTCACCCTAGGAGGAGTGCTGGTCTCAGCGTATTCCCTACTCCTGCTAAACCAGAGGAAGCCAGGATGCTGCAGGAGACAGAGTCTGCACTACCAGGAACTGCAGGAGGTACTGAGGGCAGGGAGGAAAATATGGAGCAGCTACCTAGGAGCTCATTTTTTTTCAATGGCTATTTTGGCCAGTGGCACTTAAAGGAAAACAATGGGGCAGGGAGGAAAGGAAGTGGTCCTAGGACCTAGACTCATGCTAATTGGTTTTCTGACTGGACATACCTCCCTTAGTGGTGGGTAAGAGGGAATTGGATGTCTAAATGGTTGGACCCAGAAATGTGGGAGAGCATTAGAAAGCTGCCTAAATATTAGAAGGGCTATAGGAACACAAGAAAAAAAAATGAGAGAGGAGGAGGAAGTTGCTTTTGTCGAGGATTCCTCCTTTCTCACCCCTCACACTTGTCTGGTTTTCAGGGTCTCTCTGAGTTGGAGGAAGTTACTGATTTGGAGAACGGTCCCGCGGTGGCTGGCACAGCAAACGGAACAACTGAATGAGGTGGCAAGGGAAGCAGACAAGTGCTGCTCTCCTACCCTGCGGGAGCATTCTCCGGACCCTACTGCACCCCACCAAACTCAGAAAACAGATGGAGGCCCTGGAGACCTACATGCAATCCAGTGGGAATGCCTTCAATTTCCAGTCAGACTAGGTTCCTTTCTCGTCTAGGGGAAGCTATACCTAGACCAGATTCTTCCCTCACCCC